AAACTATCCAGATGATTCAGAAGGCCAAAGCTATGGACAACCGGTGACTGGCAGCCTCATCACGACAATGTACCTGCTCATGCATCACATCTCTTGTAGAGTTTTTGGCAAAATATCAAGTCGCCCAGGTGACTCAGCTCCCCTACAGCCCAGATTTGGTGCCCCACAACTTCTGGCTTTTCCCAAAATTAAAGTCACCTTAAAAGGTGAGATTTCAGACCCTTGGTAAGATTGAGGAAAATATGACCGCACAGCTGATAGCAATTGGGAGAACTGTGTGAGGTCCCAATGCCTACTTTGAAGGGGACTAAGGTGTCATTGTCCTATGTACATTGTTTCTTATATTTTCTTCAATGAATGTTTCTTTTTCATATTACATACTTGGATACCTTCTGGATAGATTTTGTATGCTGCATCTTGGGTGAACCTTGAAACATTATAGGTGAAAGAAGCCAGTTACAAAAGGTCACATATTGTATGATCCCATTTGATCCCATAATATGAAATGTCCAGAATTGGCAAATCACCATTTACTTTTGCAGAGAGTGTTTCAGAACTCAGAGTCAGCTTTGAGGGCTCTAGGTCTGGGTATCCTTTGCCTTGTCCTCGGCAGGCAGCGTTGCTAATGGTGACCATGGGCTTAAAATCAGACCTGGCACTCAGCTGTATTCTTCCAGTTCTGGCAGTAGGCTATGGGCAAGCCACTCATGCTTTCTCTGTTCACTTCCCTTGTTTGTAAAGCACCAAGATACACATTTCTGCCTAGTTACCAATGTAAAGCACATTGCATGGCATGTTCTTTTTTCTTTTCTTTAAAATTATTTATTTATATGACAGAGAGAGAGAGAGAGAGACAGACAGACAGAAACACTCACTTGTTTCATTTATTGAAACACATTCATTGGTTGATCCTTACATGTGCCCTGACCAGGGATTGGACACAGAGTCATGGCTTACTGGGATGACACTCTAACCAACTGAGTACCTGGCCAGGGCACATGCCATGTTCTTATTGTGACTGTTTTTATTATTACTCTTGTCATGGCCCTCACTCTTTTCCTGCTGAGGATGTTTCAGGTTACATTAGCTTGCTGTTGTGAGAGTTCACAGCTGATCTGTGCTTTTTCTTGTCAGCATCAGTCAGTCACCTTAGAAAAAGGTTATGTGGCTCAGGTTTGGAGAAAGGGCTGCAAGGGAGGAGTTATCCTGATTTTTTTCTTACCTGGCCGATAGTCCTCTTTCAAGACCTTCACTTCTTTTAGTCTTTCCCCACTGGATGTGTGGGACTGAATCATCTCCTTTTCCAGCTAGCAAAAGGGTTAAAACTTGGCATTTTGCCTGGCTGGGGGTGAGTTCTGCACCCTATATGAGGGAAGAGAAGGAACTTAGGAACAAAATTTGTTTCTCCTTTTATTAGAAGGAAAATAGACACAGATTAGGATTCTCATTAGCAAAGAGGAAATGTCAAAGGAAAGAAGGACTAGTCAGCATTGTCTCTTATGCGGTCCTGCTTGGAAAATAATTAAGGAAAATAATTTCTGCCATGATATAACAAGAATCTGTTTCTCTCTTGTTTCCACTAACTTAACACTGACATCCTTTGGAGCCACCGCCAGCAGCACCTCTAGTGTCCATATATCCGCTAATAGTCTGTTACTGACAATTTAAGTATTCTCTAAGATGATATATGTTTCTCTGCCCTGCTACTCACTTCTTTCTGAGCCCTTATTAGCAGAGTCATTATCCATGTTTCTACTAAAAGTCTGTTTAAGGAAATCTAGACCTTTTCTAACCTGTTCCTCAGAGTTTTTCTACCAACAGTGTGATTCCAAAGCTACGTTCACATTTTACATATTTGTTACAGCAGCGTCCCACTTCCAGGTAATAAAATTAGCTTAATGAGAAATATATATTAGTTTTCTATGGCTCTTGTGACAAATGACCACACACTTAGTTTCCTGAACAACATATTGATTATCTTACAGTTTTGGAGGTCACAAGTCCTGACAGGTCATCTTGCTAAAAGCAAGGTGTTGCAGGGCCATATTTATGGAGATTCTAAGGAAGAACCTATTTTCTGCCCACTCATATTGTTGGCAGAATTCACACACTCTTTTTTAAAGATGATATTTATTTATTTTTTAGAGAGGGAAAGGGAGGGAGAAAGAGAGGGAAGCACCAATGTGTGGTTGTGCACCCCCTACTGGAAACCTGGCCTACAACCTTCTGCATGTGCCCTGACTGGGAATCAAACCTGTGACCCTTTGGTTTGCAGGCTGGCACTCAACCACTGAGCCATACCAGCCAGGGCAGAATTCACACACTCTTCAGTTGTGCTATCCCATATGTCTGCAGTATGACGTGCTATGAAATCTTCTGTCTCTCTTTGTTTTTTATTTTTCTTATCCCTATAAAAACAGAATGACTTACTTTTTTTTCTGTGTTATTCATTTAATAAAATCATGCATGTTCAGAATTGGGCAGGACTTAGGGTTCCCTCTCCCACACCCCATTGCACAGGGGGGAACCTGTGGGCTTTGGGCAAAGAAACTCACCTGAAGTGGTTTGGCTGGTTTTGGGAAGTTAGGACTGGCATTGAGGTCCCCACATTTCTATCTGGATCTGGTTCATGTAGAAGAAGATTATCCTGTCAAAATCAAGCAAAACAGTGCCCTTAAATTATTTGTTTTTTTAAGGGTGAGCATTGAAAAAAAATTTTTTAGCTCACTTTTTCTTTGATAGAAAAAGATTATTGCACTGGCTGGTATGGTTCAGTTTGTTGGAGCATCGTCCCAGAAACAGAAGGGCTGTGGGTTCAATTCCCGGTCAGGGCACATACCTAGGTTGTGGGTTTAGTCAGATCAGGGCGTGTATGAGAGGCAGCTGATCGATGTTGCACTTTCTAATCAATGTTTCTCTCCCTCCCATTCCCTCTCTCTAAAATCAATAAGCATGTCCTTGTGTGAGGATAAACAAAAAGAAAAAGATTCTCTGTCTTAGGAGCTCATGATTCCATTTACTTTAATTTTTTTAACTGTTAGGATAATTTTTGTTGTTTTATTGTATCATGAGGCATTGAAACATCTGAACAAATCAATATCTGGGTGGTGAGGCAGCTGCTTTCTCCTTCACTTCCTTGGGTTACTAGAGCAACTTGCCAGTAGATTAAAAAAAAGAAGACATGGCTGGTGTAGCTCAGTGGATTGAGCATTGGCCTGTGAACCAAAAGGTTGCTGGTTCAATTACTAGTCAGGGCACATGCCTGTGTTTGGGGCCAGGTCCCCAGTAGGGGGCATGCAAGAGACAACTGCACACTGCTATTTCCCTCTCTTTCTCCCTCTTTTTTCCCTTTTTCTAAAAAATAAATAAATAAAATCTTTAGGGGGAAAAATACTACCTTTTGCATTACTTAAGTCTTTCCAAGGCATGAGCTGGCACAACACAACCTTCTCCTGTCAGATGTAACTAGTCTTATGTCCAAACATCATGTACAATACCTAGCTAGCAGCAGCATACTGTGCCCACTTCCACCATGGCTCTGCTCATTTGTGTATGATATTTGGAGCATCTGGAGGAATGTGGATACTATCAGGAAGAGGAGGGAGGAGGAAACAGCATGAGTGCTTGGTTGGGAGGAGGTCAGCTGAAGTTGTGCAGGGCAAGCCTGAAATGTCATTGGTGCAAACCCAAGCATTGTTGAAGTTCTTTAATACGAACATGTGGTGTAACCCCATGATGGGATCTTCGTCAGTCTTAAGCTGGTCCACAGCCATACTGATGATGCAGCTATCTAGTGTGGGCTGATGGTCCTGTGCCTTGGGGCTGTGCTGGATTTTCTGGAATGGAAACCTAGACAACTTCTCCACAAGAGCAGCTTTCCCCTGGAATTGCTTTCCTTCTCATGCAAGGCATGATGCATCAATGTAAATTGCACCTAGTTGGATTCTGTCGTTATCAAGTAACTTGCAGTAATGTTGAAAGAAGCTGGATCCAGTTGGCTCCCTGATTGGCTTGTCTCCAATTCTGGGGAGTCACTGGGCCTGGTTGAGACCTGAGGGTCTGAGACAATGGTGGCAGCAGAGGCAGAAACCCAGTGTGGTCTGCCACTTTAAGTTAATCTTGATATCAAGTGTTAGTAAATTTGAATGCACTTAATATAAGCAAATATTGATCCTGTAAAGTTTATTTAGTAGCAAGAGGTTAAATGTGTTCACTTTTTTTTTTAACCAGGTAACAATGTAGGTGAGGATCATTTGAGATCATTTTAGTCACTGTTGGTCATTTGTCCCAAAACTTAATTCATAATTCCTAAGGCAGATTTCAGATCTTCCCAGGGCTTTAGTATTAATGACTTAGAATTGTAATTTTATAGATTCTTTCTAAATAACTGTCAATATCTGTCAGACTCTTCTAGGTCGAAGAGCTGGGGTTACCTTTTGAGATCTTAAAGGTGTGATCTACAAATGCTTGGGGAATTAGGTGCACAGGAAGTTGTTCTTCTTCCTCTGCCTCATGAATTTGTCTCTGTCTCTTTTATTCACAGAACCTGAGAATCTAGGAACATACTGTTCTGAGTGTTGCTGCTTTGAATTCATATACCAGAAAATAGTAGCTTTTGAGAAACACCTGTCTTCTCTGTGCATGAGTGTGTCTTCCTTCCCTTATTGTAATTCTTTAATCCCATTACTTTTTGTGTTCATCAGTGCTTTGAGTGTTCTTTCTTTGAAACTCTACTAAGGATTTAAGGTACAGACTATTGTACTATCTGGAAAATAACTGATAAGAGTGCCCTATACAGCTGGAAGATTAAAGAACAAAAGCATGTTTGCCAGTGCTAGCAAACAGTGCTAAAGTTTAATCACAAGCCACAGAAGTTGATGGTGTCATTGTGGAGACTCGGGGTGAGAAGCCTGTTTCTGCTGAAAGGGCTTTGAAACCAGTCAAGTTGTCACTGTCTGAGCCTCTGTTGATTACCTTTGTGTATATTTCATTTCTGACAGCTCCTTTAGTGGCAGAGTTTTCCGAGTGACCTTTTTGATGCTGGCTGTTTCCCTCACCATTCCACTTCTTGGAGCCATGATGCTGCTGGATTCTCCCATAGATCCACAGCCTCTCAGGTAAGCTGCCCCAGCAATTCTTGGGAGGGATTGCTCAGCAAAGTATAATAGGCCGGGATGATTTCTTGACTAACTAAACCAATCTTATTTGAAAGGTAAATTATGAGAAATAAAGATTTGATTTTTTGTCTCTATTTTATATTGAATTAGATGTTCCACAGAATATATGCATGGTGTTGCCCATGTTACTGTTTCAAAAACAAAACTATATAAATCAAAAACAAAAATCAGAAGAATCTCAAATAAGAGAAGCTTAAGTATTAGACACAGTTAAGCTGAATTAGTAAGTGGCAAAAGCATACACAAATTGAGGTTACTTTGTTTAAATTTTATAAGTAACTGATTTAAAAAAACTTGTAATTAATATTCTTTTTTTCTAAGTTACCTTTCTTCATTGGTGATTTGTGAATAATGCACTCTGTTATAACTTGATAAATAGTGTACATTTAGGGAGTCCCATGAAATGTATTCATATTCTTAGTTATATTAATACTGAGCCAGACTCTTATTGCTGTGATTTATGACATTGATGTTTATGTGGTACAAGAAGGTCATGCAGTCTGGTTCAATAAGTTCCTGTTTTTCATTGCAACTGCCCAGAGTGGTGAGCAGTCTGAAGTTTATTTTAAGTGAATTAGTCCATGTAAGGTTTAAAAACTTCAGAAAGAACCATGTCTTATTTTGAAGTAAATAGAACATATGCAACTCTATAATGTGTTGTTGTTTTATATCTGACTGATATCTACCTGCAGGACATATCAGTTGTTCTGACCTTAGATTGACATACATAGAAAAGAGTCAACTTTTTGTTGTTGGATTGGGAATTAGTTAAGGTACATGGTGTTGTTAAAACAATTAGCTTGCATAAGATTGAATTAGATTGACAATGGATTGAGGCCTGGGTACTTTAGAGTGATATGCATATTTGCTCTGTAATTCCTGGTATGCCAATATTTCCTTGCAAGGACACCCTAGATGTTCTCTCTGAGAGGGTTCTGGGATACACATAAGGGAGGGACCTCTTCTTGCTAACCCCCTCTCAACAAGTGGAAGGATGTGGCTCAGCCCAACCCAAATAGAAACGAACCTGGACTTTTCTATTCATTTGTCAAGGTGAGAAAATGAACTGTGTCCACAGCTGGGGATTAAAGTCTGGACTAGGGAGGTAGCCTTGGGAAAGAGGAGGAAAGTAGAGAGAGCAGGTAAAGATGGAGTTCCAGAGTTGGAGTGGGAGGGATGGAGCTTAAGTGACTAAAGATCTTTGATCTCAGTAAAGGTGAATTTATGTGTGGAAAGAGTGGTGAAGAGATTCAGAGGAAAGGTGGGTGTGTACTCATGACCAGAAACTGAAAGGAAACATGGTCTAGTAAGAATTTTAAGTTGTGCATGAGAGTTCTGCTGGGCAGTAGATGAGCCTGATAAAGAAGGAAAGGTGCAGAAAACTAGTGAAATCAGTGTAGCTGATAGGATCTTTCCTACAGGCTCAGATTTACAGAATGACTTGCTCAAAAATTGGAAGCATGAACCTCAGTGCAGATGAAAAGCAGAGTGGCAAAGAGTGTAAGAACAGAAATTAATTGAGGTTTGGGAAAAATGCTAGTGACAACAACAAAAGAAGCCTTCTCGAAAACTCTCTTCAGAGCAAAAAGAGCAAGGAAGGAGGAGACCCACGGTTTGGGGCAAGGGATGCAGTGTTGATGAGGTCAGAAAAGCAGAGCTTCTGGTTTATGCTCTACCTCAGTCATGTCCCAGCCAAGGGAGGTGCCATATACAATCAGGTGAGCTGGCAGATGGGAGGTCAGCAACGGCAGTGCCTTGGGGAGTCTACCTCCAGGGTGCTAATGACCTCTATTTGAGCTTAGACCATGCTTAGAAATCTCTGAGAAATCAGAGAACAGTTAGACCAGGGACAAGGAGGGGTGGAATACTTCCAGAGCCAGTTATGCATTGGTTTCAGTTCTAGGGAATAAAGTCACCTAGAAGGCTGCAGGGCTTTGCCAAAAACCTGACATACAAAGCCACTTTCTTTTCCATTTTGGAAGATTGGAGGACTGTTATTTATATAAAGAACATATGTGGCATCCTGATTTCTGGAGGATATTGACCAGAGTGTTTCAGCATCCATTTGACTTGTGGAGTTAGTGGAAATTAATGTGAATTATCAGGAGTTAATTAGTTAACAGAAGATCACTGGCCATAACCAGAGTCTATGTGGCCTGGCTTGCTGTGAGTGCTAATTTGGGCTGCCTGGGGCCACTTTTCCTTGGTACTTCTTCTGCCCAGGTGCAGGAATGGGAGTTCTTTCTTGCCTGTCCTTTGCATTTTCTGTTTTCTTCTTGTCTTCCTGCTTAGGCTCATTGTGGGCAGGGATAGTATGTCATATACCGATTAGTTTGATTTTGCAAATATTTCCTGAGGACTTCCTGTGTCTAGAGAATTAGGTAAGGTCCAAGGACTAGGTGAGAGGAGCTGGTATCAGGTGTACCCTCCTCTATTTTGGAGCTTTTTTTGAAAGATTTTATTCACTTATTTTATTTTATTTTTTTAAATTTTTATTTATTTATTTTTAGAGGGGAAGGAGAAAGGGAGAGAAACATCAATGTATGGTTGCCTCTAGTGCATCCCCTGCAGGGAACTGGCCTGCAGGGAACCTGCCTGCAACCCAGGCATGTGCCCTGACTGGGAATCGAACCGCGATCCTCTGGTTCACAGGCCCGTGCTCAATCCACTGAGCTACACCAGCCAGGGCTATTCACTTATTTTAGAGAGTAGAAAAGGAAGGGGGAAAGAGAGGGAGAGAAACATCTATATGCAAGAGATACATGGATTGGTTGGTTGCCTTTCACACACCCCCAACTGGGGACCTGGCTATCAACCCAGGCATGTGCCCTGACTGAGAATCAAACCAGTGACCTCTTGGTTACAGGTTGGCACTCAGTTCACTGAGCCACACCAGCCAGGGCTATCCTTGGGCTTTATGTGTTTATGTTGTTCAGTCTTCACATATACCTTTGGGAAGTATGACCTTTCCAAGGTCAGAATCTGAAAGCAGATTTGTACAACTCCATAGCTCAGGCTTTTCCACCAAAAATACAGATTACAGCCCTGTTTTTCCTTTGGAAATAAAATTCCTAGTTAAATGAAGTGTTTTTTTCAGCAAGTTGAAAATCATAATGATGGGGGAGAGGGGCAATTTAATTTGAAGGAAGTTGTGTCATGTTCTGCATAGTGCCCACTCAGAGGGGGTGGCAAGGGTGAAGTGTTTTGCCAGCAAGGCAGAAAGCTTTTTCCTGCATCCTCAACCACTTCCTCCATCCGCCTTGTGTCTCCCACTCTGGTGATCTGGCTAGGAAACTGCTTTGCTGGAGGGCAGGGTGGGGAGGGAATTGGGAGATTCCCATCCCCAGTCTTCCTACCTTCCCACTCCTTCTATAGTGTTCATTAGGAACCTTCTATATGCCAGGTGGTTGGAATACAGCAGTGAAAAACAGAACAAATCCCTGATCTCATCTGCTCTAGTGGGGATAGGCAGACAGTAAACACAACAGAAGTAAGAAGCTGAAATGGACTCTGAACCCAATAGCATTGTGGGGGAGGGGGGGTGTTGACTATTAAATTGAATGGTCAGAGCAGGTCTCACTGAGAAGGTGAGGGTGAAGGGAACAGCCAGTATGAAGGACTTAAGATGGAAGACGCCTAGTGCAGTCAAGAACCAGCAGGCAATGGCTGGTGTGGAGGAGTAGAGTGAAGTACTGAGAGAGGAGAGAGAATTGACAGGCCATATGGTGTAGGGCTAAGAGCCACAGCAAGGACTTAGGCTTTAGGTAAGATGGGGTCATTACAAGGCTTTGAACAGATGAATGCTGTGATCTGACTATAGTGATCACATGGGCTACTGGGTTGAGAATAGACTATTGAGGACAGAGAAGAAGTAAGGGAGAGAAGACAGTTGCCTGGTACAGGGTCGTAGCAGAGGACATAGGGCAAAAGGGTTCAGTGATGTCTGTCTTTTAGAGGTGGCATCAGCATGATTTGCTGATGGATTGGGAGAAAGAATATATTTGCATGTGGAGGGAAAGATCTGAGGAGAGAGAAGAGTTCCTGGAGCCCAGTCTGAGTGAAGGAATGGAGGCAGGGCCCAGTGGAAGCTGTCTTTAGAGAGAAGCCAGATGGGTCCTGAGGGTGCACCTATGCTGGACGATAGGGCAGTGGCACCAGTTCCCTGTACACTTGTCTCATTTCTTCTGTCTTCTCCATGAAGCAAGGCTGTCAGCTATGAAATGTCCACATGGCTCCTTTCCATCTCCATTGGACTTTAATGGGAGGGCAACCACTGGGAGTATAAATGCCAGGGTGTGTGAATCACGGGATGTGAGGATTTACCCTGCTGCAAGGCATTGGACTTGTGATAAACAGTTCAGGTGGGTGGAGGCCCTGGAGTGCTCTCAGATGGCAGGTGATTGCAAATTTTTCAAATTTTGCAATGACCTGCCGTTTGAGGGACAGCTTTTTCTTAACTTTTATATTTTTGGCAGATAAGGATATTATTGGAATGAAACCTTTTTATCGATGGAATTATGCATGTCGTAGGTCCTCAGTGAACACTTTCTTCATGTGTTTTCTATAGACAAATTTCTATAATTGCATTATTTTACAGCTTCAAAGAACCCCCTTGCTTGCTTGGTGTTCTGCAACCAAATACGAAGTTACGACAGGTGGAAAGGCTATTCGAAAATCAACTTATTGGGCCAGAGTCCATAGCAATTATTGGGGGTAAGTAAACCCCTGGAACTTCAGTCTGTCTGGGATAACTTTGAGTCTGTCTGTTGCTTGGAGCGGGGGATTCTATAGGAACAGCCACTGGCACCCTGCTCCTGGTTTGGGGAGCCCTCACCATCTTTAGCTGCAGACGTTGTGTGATGTGCATGTATTTGTTGAGCAGACATCCTGAGGGAGCTTCTTGGCTCTTTGAGTTATGAGACATTTCAGTATGGGGTGATTTTGAGTTCTCTTCTGTGGAGCACTTTATTTGGCTCAAATTGTTGGACCCATTAAAAAGAAATGAAAAAATGCAGACATTGATGTTTAGTTCATTTATTAAAGTTATATAGGTATTTCTTGACAGGACATTGTTTCTTAGCTGAGTTTGTGTAGATTTCATTTTTGAAAAGAATATAAATGATTCTTAATATTTCTACTTTTTTTTTTCCTTCAGAATTGTCCAAACCTAACAGCTAGAATTGGGCGTAGTGCTAATACTAGAGTCTCTAGCAGCCTGAAACAATGTACTTTCTATTAGAATGAGAATTAAGCTTTGGAATGACAAGATAAAATTAAAGTTGCTGTACTTAATATGGTATGAGGATTTCTGAGTAGCTTAACTGGGCATTCTGCTTCTAATTCTAAAGTACTGCATGTTTTCTGTAAAGTAGTTTTGGACAGTGCGTTGGGGGTACTCCTTTGTTTTGTTTTGAAGACAGACCAGGGCCACTGCCCCTGTGATATTGAACATTTGTCTTTTCCTGGACCTCTTGTTCTATACAGGACCCAAACACTGGTAGATTTCTGCAATGGTTTGTTTGGCTGGCAAAGTCAGAATTGTTTGAAGAGGGATAGGTACTTCATGATACAACTTCATATTTCCACTAAAAGACATTGACATTTAATATTAATACACTTTTTCAAAATTTTTTTTTGGTGAAAAAAATCAAATTTTGGAAGTCAAAACTGGAACTTGGAGGAGTTAAAGTGGTTTTTTAAAAACTTTCAAAGGGAAGGCTATTCTTATCTTTTTCTTTTCTGCCTGGTTGAACGTCTCATTGTACTCTTATCACCAGATCAAAGAACTGGTTATCTGCCTGGTGACATTTCTGGTTAGGTACAAGGAGTGGCAGAGGGAGGGACAGGGGGTGGGGGGATCTGTCTAGTTAGTCTCCTGCAGATGTGAACCCTAAGGAGGATTTTGGCCATTCAAATAGGTGTGTAGTGGTACATCATTGTTTTAATTTGTAGTTCCCTAATGACATAGATGTTGAGCATCTTTTCATATGCTTATTAACCACCTGTTTAAGTCTTCTGGCAATTTAAAAAATTGAGTTATTTTCTTTTTTTTTAATTAATTTTTAATTGATTATGCTGTTACAGTTGTTCTATTCCCCCCTTCTTTCCCCTCCACTCTACCCCCCCGACCCCACCATTACCCCCCTTTAGTTTATGACCATGTGTCTCAAGTTTTTTAGATTCTATATTTCCCATACTATTCTTGCCCCCCCATCTATTTTCTATCTACCATCTATGCTACTTATTTTCTGTACCTTCTCCCCACTTCTCCTTCTCCCACTCCCCTGTTGCTAACCCTCCTTGAGATCTTCATTTCTATGTTTCCACTCCTGATCTAGCTGTCCTCTTAGTCTGCTTTTGTTTTAGGTGTGGTTGTTAATAACTGTGAGTTTGTTGTCCTTTCACCATTCATGTTTTTTTAACTTCTTTTTCTTAGATAAGTCCCTTTAGCATTTCATATAATAAGGGCTTGGTGATGATGAACTCCTTGAATTTGATCTTATCTGAGAAGCACTTTATCTGTCCTTCCATTCTAAATGAAAGTTTTGCTGGATAGAGCAATCTTGGTTGTAGGTCTTTGGATTTCATGACTTGGAATACCTCTTTCCAGCCCCTTCTTGCCTGTAAGGTCTCTTTTGAGAAATCTGCTGACAGTCTGATGGGGACTCCTTTGTAGGTGACTGTCCCCTTATCTCTTGCTGCTTCTAGGATTCTCTCCTTCATTTGAATCTTGGCTAATGTAATGATGATGTGCCTTAGTGTGTTCCTTTTTGGGTGCAACTTCTTTGGTACTCTCTGAGCTTCCTGGATTTCCTGGAAGTCTATTTCCTTTGTCAGATTGGGGAAATTCTCCTTTATTATTTGTTCAAATAAGTTTTCCACTGGTGGCTGTTCCTTTCCCCCTTCTGGTACCCCTATAATTCGGATGTTGGAGCGTTTAAAGATGTCCTGGAGGTTCCTAAGACTCTCCTCATTTTTTTGAATTTTTGCTTCTTCACTCTTTTCTATTTGGCCATTATTTGCTTTCTTCTGGTCCACTCCATTGATTTGAGTCCCAGTTTCCTTTTCATTGCTATTGGTTTCCTGTGCAATTCCATTCATTTCAATTAGTTTCGCCTTCATATGTTTGTCTAATTTGTGGCTATAATCAACCAGTTCTGTGAGGATCCTGATCACCAGTGTTTTGAACTGTGCATCTGAGAGTTTTGCTATTTCTTCATTGCTTAGATTTATAGGCTCTGGGGCTTTGAGATCTTCTTGAGCCATTTTTGGTCTGTTTGCGCCCGTTAAGTATGAGGAGCGGAGCCTTGGACTCCCAGGTCGCTGGGTTGTGACTCTGTATGTGGAGGAGGGGTCAGAGCGGGGAAATGGTGGCCCCCTCTGCTGTTTCTTGCAGCTGGGTGAAGAGCAGAGCCTTAAGTTGTTCACCGGGGCAGGGCCACTTAGGTCTCTGGATTATGACACTGTATGTGGAGGCAGGGTTAGAGCGGGGAAATGGCGGTGCCCTCCGTCGCAGCTTGCCGCTGGGGCTGCTGGCTCTTGTCCAAGCGCCCACTTCCTGGCTTGTCTATCCACACACGAATGCGCGACCACAGTCAACCCGCAGCCCTGCTCCCTCACTGTTTCCCCGCGATTGCTTGCTGAATTGCCCACCAGGTCCAACCCTGCGCCTGGATTCTACGCACCTGACTCTGTCTGATTGAGTTTTCCTGTGCTACCCCGCCCTGCCAGCTGCTGGTTTTGCCTCTCTTTCCAGTCAGGGTGAAGAATTTGTTGTTATCAGACTTCCGAAAAGTTCAATTTTCTGTTTTCTGGCTGTGTTTTCTGTTGCTAATATTTAGTTGTCTCTAAACTTGGTTGTGTGAGGAAGCATGGTATCTCCACCTATGCCTCCATCTTGGTGGAATTCCGAGTTATTTTCTTATTATTGAGTTTTAAGATCTCTTTGGATATTATGGATAACAGTCCTTTAACAGATATGTTTTCTTCCAGTCTGTGGTTTGTCATGTCATTCTTAGTAGTGCCTTTATAGAACAGAAGTTTGAAATTTTTTAAAAAAGATTTCACTTATTTATTTTCAGAGAGGGGGAAGGGAGGGATTAAAAGAGGGAGAAAAACATCGATGTGCAAGAGACACGTTGATTGCTTGCCTTTCGAATGCCCACAACCAGAGACCCAGGCATGTGCCCTCAGTAGGAATTGAACCTATGACCTTTTGGTTCTCCAGCAGGCACTCAATCTGTTGAGCTACACCAGCCAGGGCAGATGTTTTTAATTTTAATGAAGTCCAGCTTATCAGTCCTTTCTTTCATGGATTGTCTTTATTATTATATCTAAAACATTATCTCCACACCCAAGGCCAACTAGTTAACATTGATACTATCTTCTAGGACTTCTGCAGTTCTGCATTTTACATTTAAGTCTATTTTGAGTTAGTTTTTGTTAAGGTTGTAAGGTCTTTAGGTCTGTGTCTAGATTTTTTGTGTGTGTGCATGTGGATGTCCAGTTTTTACAGCACAATTTGTAGAAAATACTTCCTTTGCTCTATTGTACAGACTGCCTTTGCTCCTTTGTCAAAGATGAGGTGACTATATTTATGTGGCTCTGTTTCTGGACTCTATTCTGTTCCACTGATCTGTTTAACTTTTCTTTTGCCATTATCATGCTGTCTTAATTACTGCAGGTTTATAGTAAGTCTCAAGTCAAATAGTGACAGTGCTCTGATGTTCTTTCATATTGTTTTGGTTATTCTGGATCTTTTGCTTTTCCATATTTAAACTTTATAATCAGTTGGTGGATATCTATGAAATAACTTGCTGGATTTTGATTGGGATTCCTTTAAATATTGTAAATCAAGTTAGGAAGAACTGACATCTTGACAATATTGACTCTTTGTTTTGTGTCTATAACCATGGGATATCTCTCCATTTATGTAGTTTTTTAAATCTTTCGTTATAGTTTTATAGTTTTTCTCATGTACAGATTTGTTTTTAGATCTCAATTATGTCATTCCTTTGGATGCTAATGTAAATGGTGTTCTGTTTTTAATTTCAAATTTTACTTGTTCATTGCTGGTATATAGGAAAGCAATTGACTTGAATATTATCCTTGTATCCTGTAACCTTATTAGTTGCAGGAGGTTTTGTTGTTGATTCTTTTGGATTTTTTTCTTAGATAATTATATTATCTGTGAAGAAAAACAATTTTAGTTCTATCTTCTCAATTAGTACAGACTTTATTTTCTTTTCTTGTTTTACTGAATGAGTTAAGTCTTCTAGTACAGTATTATAAATGAGTAGTGAGAGGGGACATTCTTCTGTTGTTCCTGATCTCGGTGAGAAAGCTTATAGTTTGTTACCATTAAGTATGATGTTAGCTGTACATTTTTCTTTTTTTTAAATAGATGTTTTTTATCAAGTTGAGGAGTTTCCTTCTATTTCTAATTTGCTGAAAGTTTTATCATGAATGGCTGCTGAATTTTGTCAAATGCTTTTTCTGCATCTGTTGCTGTAATCATGTGATTTTTCTTTAGCCTGTTGATGTTATGGATTACTTAATTGATTTTCAAATGCTGAAGTCGCCTTGCACACCCTGGATAAATCCCAGTTGGTTGGATGTATAATTTTTTTTACATATTGTTGGATTAGATTTACTGTAGGGGACCGGTTTGTCTTGGCAAATGTGACTCAACTCTGTATGGAAAACCTACAGAT